ATTTTATAAAGTGTCCCTGAAAAAGTTAAGCCATGATATTCATAAGACTTTTCATAAACAAGTACCGACCCATTGCAATTAAACTGAAAATTACTCCTTTTCACACGTGGCTTTTTGAAATGCTCAATTTTGGTTTTTTATTTGGTTTACAAACAAACTCCATTTATAAGACCACTTCAACAGCTGAGCAAGCACAGCTTGTAAATTTTCCTCGGTAGAAGCTATTAAAACTACATCATCTGCACATAGTAATGTATCTAACAAAATACTCCAACTCTAAAACCTTTCGAGAGGCACATTATCTACTGCGCTATATATCTATCGTTGATATATATAGGGCAAATAGGGTTGTGATCGGCTGTAACTTTGTAGAACACGATATCTATTCGTATTTGTGTACGTCGTTAACGTCTCTAGCAGTAATGTGCAGACAAACGTTGCTGTATGTTCGCATGCCCGGAGGGAGATAAAATGTTTTGAACATCAAAAACAATATACCATACACTTCTTGTATCTTCATTTTAATGCGCTGGAAACAGTTTATTCGCTTGATGGAGTATTCTCAAATGTTAAATGTATATGACAGCAGTGCCTCTCTTTTACAGCTTATGATATCACTTTTGTAATTTTTTTAATTTTTTTTCTTTATAATGTATGTTTTGTATTTGTAGGTTTAGCAAAGCGCTAATACTCATTCACTTTCCTTTGCACCTATGCAGTTTTGTTTTCATAATTGGTGCTGTTATGTAATGCATTGTATCACTTAACTGTTTAATCATTAAAAATTGAAGGAAATGACACTGATTATGGCAAAACTGATCAATCATTAAAAAATGAAGGAAATGACACTGCTAATTGCAACATTTTATGACAAATTATATTAATAATTTATATGTTCACACTTGTTTGCATTAGAGAAAGATATTGTTTCCTGATTTTTAAAATATATAGGCCTAGTTACACATTTTTTCTCTGCGACCCCCTTTTCTTAACGGGTTGTGATTTTAACCACTTTTTGGTAAATTAAACACGATTTTAAATCTGCCAAGCCTTGTTAAAAAGGTCCACTTTTTTCGGAAAAAGTAGGCCTACCCCCCTTTGAATTTGTTGGCTACGGGCCTGCCGATATACCTACCAATAGGCCTACTGTAAATGCTTGTTCTGTTGTGAAAAGGGCCCTTCAAAGCGAATAGACACGACCTGAACTAACCCGAGCTTTTCGACCGTCTCCGTTCTTGGCAATGGCGAATCATAAATTAGAAACTTTGTTCCTTTTTCTTTAACTGATTTTAAGAGACCCGTGCTCATTTTATATATCTATGTCAGACTAAGTGCAAAAAGCTTTCTTTTCAATTTTTATTTACACTTATACATTTTGTAGCAATTTAGGGGGGGAGAAAACACCAGGCTCGACCGGGATTCGAAACCGGGACTCTCGCAAACCGTGCGACTACTCTTAACACGAGGAAAAAAAACAAGCAGTCTTATTACTCTATGCCTTATACATTATAGAACAATTGTTCTCGTCTACCGTTTTATATTTGCGAAGCGAAGAGAAATCTCTTTGGTTTGTATTTCACCCTTTCATCAAAGTATATAAATTTCTCGCTAACTTGTGGTGTATCTCTGACCTCACCTGTAAGGGACAATATAACTTACCCCGAGCCGGCAGCGCTGGTTGCACGAACGCTGTGAAGTCGAATCCGGTTGGCCATGTCTCGGAGCGCTTGGAAATCCGCGTGTCCCATGTCGTTGTTTTCCCGTACGTTAGTCATGCTCTTGCAGTTTGTCAGTTTGAACAAAATTCACCCGGTGATGTGTAGAGCTCGCCTTTCAGGGTAACTCACCTAAATGAAAGATGAACACATACGGGTTACAAGGGCTTGCCAAGATGAAATACGCTTTACGCATCTATGCAGCAAAATGACAAAAAAACATTACGGTTTGCTTATTTCCGTTTAAATTCGGCCGTGTATGAGAGCAGACAACAAGATATGCAGTTCACAGCGTAAGGAACGACCACATTTTCTATTAATATTTTCATCATTTGAATTTTCAGCCAGGATTTACATTGGCAGATATATGAGGGTCTTCCTTCAGGGACATTTTAAGTTATTAGTGGTCGACATTGGATACATTCAATTACTACAGGTAGGCATTACTACGCCCATTTGTTAGTGTTCCGATGTCATAGTTTATGCCTGAATACAATGAAAAATATGCCAAAGCTCCAAAACGAGAACCAATGTATCTTTATGAAATGTCAGGAAGACGTGGCACCTACCCATTCAATCTTGTTTATACAGATGGCTCCTTTTGTCCCGATTAGATGGAACGTAAAACTTTTCGGCAACGACTGTCGTATAAGCCCTACTGCAACGTCGAGCTACCCTGCATGTGAACGATTATTGCACGAATCGAAGATAAACAAGACCGTCTAAACTGCGCACGTGCAACGCATCGTTGGAGCACTGCTCAACAATCTGAGGATGGTAAGATTGGACAAACGCCATGTTTTCAGCTGCAGTCATAAATAATAAATAAATAAATAAATAAATAAATAAATAAATAAATAAAAATAAATAAATAAAAAGAAAAGTTAAAAGCACGGTATTTAAAAGCAGCCAAAATGAAACGTCCAACATTCCTCCATTTTGATTTAAAAATTAGAATATAAGAAAATTAAAAAAATATAAATAATATTGATATAAAGATCAAACCTATAAAATAAAGAAATGTAAAAAAAAAGGAAATTAAAATAAAAAAGCAAAGAGAAAGTTTTAAGTCTAGAAAACTTGTGAAAATGAATTTTGAAATAAAATTACTTAAACAGAAGGCACACTCTAATATGTGTATAAATTATGCATAGCCCCTGTGTATCATTTCTATTAGGTAAATAATTAAGAAACGGTTAATTAATTATCCATTGTCAAGAGGTAGGCAACACTATTACTATTAATATAGAACCTATAATCTGCAAATTTTAAGTTGTAGGCCTACAAGCCTACATTTAAATTATAATATAACATACTAGGCCTTCTGCAGTATATATATATATTCTTTTTTAATAAAGTTTTGTTTAAATCAATAAGTTTATACTTTTAGTCATCTCAGTAGAATGAGAATTATATAAACCTAGCAAAAGGTCCCAGGTCGAGACCGCAACGTGGGTCAGCTGCTAATGTAAATTCTAATATACATTATTCTCATATTGTTAACTGCCTCACCTTATTTTACCAAATAAATATTACATATGTTATGAAAAGCATAAGAGCATTATGTTATGGAATGACTCTTGCAGTGCAACGTGCATTATATCAGTGTTAAAAGAAGATCGGCGCTCAGTCAAAATAATAACAAACACGATGTTGAAGCAATAAAAAAACATATATTTTCCGTATTGTATAAGTTATTATATTGTATAAGTTCATGTTTAACGTGTCACGACCAGAAATTGTCGGCAATCTCTGTCTAGCAACACTCTGCTACTGATCCATTGTGAACTGCTCATATACTCTAACTCCACTCTACTTTAAATAAATTGCCTTAGCTTGCGGCCTTACGTGGTTGGCAGTTAAGATTTTTTTATACCGATGATGTATGTGGAACTTTGGGCCGGTAGGCCATATATTCCTGAATAAATCTATCTAAATACAAGCTTAGCAGCTAACGATACCCATAACTAACCTGTGATAAGTGTACCGTAAGCATATAAGGCCGAAAACTGAGTCAACCTATACAGTATATAAGCGCTGAATAAGTTGGCTACACTTTTACCTTTAAACCATTGAGCCTAATTACTTAAAATGACATGCAAATACTGAATTATTGACTTAAATCACAAATGAAACTACTTGTTGTGAACTCTTTATTTTTAGAATGAATTAATACAATATCCCATGTAAAATTGTATTAATAACGTACTACCCAATCAGTTAAAATGAAACACCATCTCTATGTACTCAAACAAGGCCACTGGACTAAATAATCTGGTCAATGCAGGATGGCTGTGTGAATAGGTTAATCTGCTAAAATTAATGTGTTTGGTAGAATTTCTTGGTTTTTGCTTTTTAAGCATTCAAAATTGTTTAATTGGCATATCATGTAAATTTTTTATGTTTGGTTGGTCAGACAGTGAAGGGAGTGTGCAAATTCAATGTTAGCAATTTTTAAAAGCATTAACATTACATCTTTTACTAAAGCATGTATAGTTATCTGAAGTCCTAGAACTGGACTTGTGCATCGATTTACACTTCATTTAATAAAATGGTGCAGTTTTGAAAGTGAACTTTTAGTCCAATTATAAACCTCATTTATGCCTTCCTGGAGTTGTACGCAATCATCATGGTTATATATGTGGGTCTAAAGATTTTAGTGTCATCATATAAGGGACCAAATATTTTAATGTGTCATCTGCAAATAGGTACACTTTAGATGCATTTTAATGGACTCTGGCAAATGAATAATGTGCATGACAAAGGGGAGCATTCTCAAAACAGAACCGTGTGGAATTCCACCAATTAAATACATTTATCCAGTCTGAACAATAAATGTTTGTTTATGGTTCAGCAAAAAAGTTCCCTCAGCCATGTCATGAGAAAATCGGGTATTTGATAATACCCTCGCTCATTAAGCATAGTCCAAGGTGAGGGACGTCACCAAATGCTTAGAAAAAGAAGAAAAAAAAGTTTATAACATTCATTGCCTTCATTGCCCAATACTCCTGACTATTCCTCCATCACTTTAATGATTTATAAGCCTGTTAACCTTTGGGGGATGAATTCATACTGTGTTTCAGAAAGCAGCTTGTTAGTTAATTAATATTTCATGACCAAGTCACACAGGTATTGATTCTAGTAGCTTGCAGCAGGTAAATGGGAGGTGAACAGGTAATTTCCGGTCAACTTGTCACATTTTTTATATATGTAGTCTATAGAAACTGTTTCATGTCTTGATCATATAAACAGGAACACAAAGACAATTATTTTTATCAAATCTTTTTATTATTAAACCTGATGCATGATGCTTTGAAACACATTTTAAATGAGTCTGGAGATTTTTCAACTACCATCCTAGGATTTTATATAATATCTTAATATCCCAAATACTTTTCAGTCATTTTGGAAAATATTTCAGTTGTTTCTGTGTTTGGTTTTCTTGTTAACACTCCTCATTTGTCTATAAATAAATTGCAGTTGGTATAGTGACTTAAGCTGCAGATAAACATATCAAATCAGCAACATTTACCTTAAGATATTGTTATCAACTGATAGGATTAGATTACTTTCACCATTATAATGAAATTCAAACTGCAATACATACACTGTCACATGAATGGAAAATATATGCCTGTCACTTTCAGTTCTATCAAGACCACAAGCAAGCAATTAGAAAAAACTGCCATGAATTCTCTAATCTGTTTTAGAGGCCTTTTCACAATGACTACGAGTATTAAATCTATATTCTGAGAGACTTGTAACTTTTTCCAAATGTGTGCTGCTTCTATTCCTCTTCAAGATGGCAGAAAATATTTCAAGACAGGTCATAAAAACTTCTCAAGTTTTACCATGCAAGCACTCCTTTTCCTGCCAAAGTATCCTGTCATTTTCATTTCTGCACAACATATTAACTGTATTCATTATAGCATTTATGTTTTTCAAAATAAAAACATCAATTTGAAGTCTATTCACCGTCTTGTACAATCTGTAATAAAGACATCTACACCTCCCATAGCATTTTAACTGCCTTCTGAAGTCCCACATCATTATAATTGAAGTAAAACAGACCTGGAATAATAAAAAATATATATATGTAGTTAATAGATAATCATTACTTGCATGAACAGATAGATAAGAACAGATATATACAGTCTGGCAAAGTGACACTTGACTGGTGCAAACATAACTGGGTGGTGTTGTTGTTGCATACTTTAAATTTGGACTTGGTATCATATGTAAACATAAATAACATATTGACCCCATTCGGAATGGATGATCCAAGTACTTACTGATCCGCCAACTAAATATGGCTGACCACAGTTCAAAAGCGATGCCCCTGATTTCTGATGGTCTCCACGATTCCACACGTGTCCTTAAAAGTATTAAGCTCTGAGGTTTAATTGCTAGGTCCTTGCAGCCATGGTGCGTGTGGAAGCGGGGAGACCAACAGGAATCGCTTTGAACTGTGGTCAGCCATATTTAGTTGGCAGATCAGTAAGTACTTAGATCATCCATTTTGAATGGGGCCATTGACAAATGTCCATATTAAATTGGCAGGGTTAAAATTCATGCCAAAATTTTTTTATACTGACCAGTCTTTCTAGACTAAAAATTAAAATTAGAATTTTACAATGAAGAATACCAATAAAGAGCAGACTGATATACTTGGACATGACTCATGAATTTAATTTTTTAGGCCTGTGATAGATCATTGGGTGATCTAAAGGAAGGGAGGGGGGTGAGGGTGAAGGCACAGAAGGCACAATTCTTTCCTTTGACCAAAATTCTTTACCCTTGCATCTCTTCCCCCCTACTTAGCAAACTCCAGGATACACCCAAGCAATATCTGGTCCAAAGAGCTTTTTATCTGGAGAGTCTCTGCCTAATTCTGTAAAGCAAGAAATTTTGTAAAAAAAAAAATAATAATAAAAAAAATAATAATAAGCTGACGTCTTGTAAAGACAAGTGCAGATCCACCAGTGTAGAACCTGATTCCACCCCCACCCCCCTCCAATCCCCCACACCATTAAATCCTTGCCTTTTCTCTCAGACCTAAACCTGACTTTGGGGCAATTTTGTACAACTGGTGATGACAGAACCTGTAAAGTTGATCCATTAATTCTACTTCATTATATGTAATCACATAAATGAAATTAAAAATGATTCAAATAGATCAACATCAAGGTTTAGACCTTTATATAAAAAGAAAAGGTATTTTATCTCCATAGTAGTAAAATTCAAGCTGGAAACATGTAACTCAGTTAAAAATAAATCAATTAAACATGGATACTTATTGTGAAAATGATTTAAGAGATTGAGGCAAACGTGTTGGCACTTTCAGGAAAACAATTTTTTTTTTTTTTTTTGCTCAATGTATCTCTGACACTTACTGTGCGTCACAAAGATGAATTCAAATTCCCAACTTTATACCAACAAGCTATTTCCTCAATTAAGACAAAGAAAAAAATATAATACTAAGGTGCTTTTTAACTGAATAATGGCTATGCTGTTTTTTTAATCAACAATTTATCTAAAATAAAAACAATATGGGTTTTGTTCTCTCTCTGTAGTACTTTATGACTTTATGAGCAGCAAGTTAAACCAAGGTACCAATGCCTTTATCATTTTGTTTAAATATCCCTAAAGCTATTCAGGAAAACATATATTTTCAAGTTTTTATGGACCGTTTGAAGTTAATGGCACTTTTGTCGTGACATCTAAGGTATATGCTATCACAACACCCTCAAGGAAATTTCACTAGTAAACATGAATAGTTAAATTCAGAAATTTTATATCATGACTTTTTATCCACATTTTTGAATTAGCTTTTAAAGTTTAGACCAAAACTGTCTGGTCTAATTATTTCAACTTTTCAGTTACGACAATTACATTTTTCTCAATTATTTTTCCTCTGCTTTGGAGGACATCCAAATTTTCTATTATTTTCTGTCAGATCAGTTGAATCTCTCTTTTACTACTGCTACTCACTGCTACTCTAACTGCTACCTTTACTCTGCTACTATTCATAGAAGTTTCCCAATTACTCACTTAAACACTCATCTTAATAAGCTGTCATCTCATTAAGTAAGTTATGATTTTTATCTTGAGCAGCAGGTGCATACCCTTACATCATAAAAGGTGCACTAAGTGTCAGTATAACACAATTTTTTTTAATCCGCATCTGTAAAAACTATAAGGTCATCTCCCTTCTTAAAACAACGAAACGAGTTAAGACAACATTCTCAGATATCATAACACTGAGTTAAAACAATAAGATACATGTAAGCGTGTTACAGGAATGTAGGTCAACAAATGATTCAGGATTTGAATAATGCATTTTAGAGTATTCCTTTAAATGCAATCTATGCACAGTGGATATGTTGCCCACCACAAGGTTTGTAAAAATGACTTTAAAATCTGTATACATCTAAAATCACTCATTAATTTATTTAACAAAAAAAAAAAAAAAATAGTGTTACTCGGCAACATTTTATTTACTAGAAAATAAAGACCACATCCTATTGGACCATAGCATTAAAATGGCTGAAATGTTCTTTTCCTTAAGGGCACTGATGGAACAAATATAAAAATAATAAAAAAAAAACAAGTTGCTGGCAGGCAGTCATTTATGTAAATATATTTTTTGTTCACACGTGAATGCATACTAGTAGATGGATCATGATTACAATATTGTAAATGGTATTTTTTTATTAACTTTTAAATCCCTTTTTATGTGTATTAGAAACAATTGTGTTTACATTGTACGATCTTGCTATTTTATTAAGTATAAAATTATCATAAGTATATTTTTATTGAACCAAACTGTCCACTGATCCCCTAAAATTTCCTTTTTTTTTCCTTAAATCAAATCATGCCTAGTTGAATGATTTTTATTACACCTCTCATAATTTCACTTGTTTCCAAACCAATCATGAGACATGTCCAAGGATTCTTATAGGCAACTGCTCTAACAAACATAATCTTAAAAACATTTTAATTTATCATTTTCCATTAAATTTATAACTTTATTGTTTTAAGTTCAAACAAAGTAAACTCTTTACTTATCAAAGAATATTTTATAAAAAAACATTTCAATGTTTACTCAACTCTCAACAGTTTTGAAAATTTACTAGCATTGGCATCATGATAAAAAGTACAATTTTCTTAGCATCAAAAATAAATAAATAAATAAATAAATAAATAAATAAATCCTGAAAATGCCCAATGTTTAAAAATATGGAGGCATTTGAAAATTTAAAGAATTTACCAAATCGCGTAACTTTCCAACTTTTTATCCTCATATTATCAAAAACCTTTTTAAACAACAAGTTGAGCTGTGTTACCTGCCAGTGAAGTCGTAGTCAAAATGTACAACACCACCATCCTTGCCGACTTCACCCAAGGATAGCGCCTCCTTCCTGTCTCTGAGGGGTAACCATGGATGTAGTCTGTAAATACACCCTCTAGACCCCTGAAACCATGACATATTGCCCAGGTTAGGATCTGTTATTGTTATATAAAGACTATGGTCTATTTTGTAGAGCATTGTCTATTGTACGATGTATACCAGTAATGTATCTCTCTCTCTCTATCTCTCTTTCTCACACACACACACACACACACACACACACACGTTTGTGTTTGTATGCACATGTGCCTGTGTGTGTGCATGCATGCATATGGCCATTGGAATTGGATTTGTGATCTCTTGCTATATCAACCATAGCCACAAAACATTCTACTAGTAGTACATGCACTGTTCTGATTCTGAGCCTGGAACTCACCAATGACCATGGACAATAAAAGCTGTTGCCACTAAGTAATTCATGATGGGGTGCTCTATGACAAAGGCTGCCGGCAGTACTGCTATCATGGAGCCTGCAAACAGGCGCTCAATTTTCCACTTGCTCACAATGTCATGGTCCATTTCACCACTGGGATCATAGACCGCCGCTAAAAACATTAAGATACCCTGTACCATCTATCATTCTAATTCAATACTGATATATGAGAACATACTAATTAAACTTCTGGAATCATCAAAACAAACTGACTGTAACCAAAAATACTCAAATCTTGACATCATGTATCTGTTGATGTGTTAGGTGTGAATCTACCCCAAATATGAAGTTTCTTTTTCCTTTAAACTTTAATTCTGTCCTGTTATCAAATGTGCTATGACAGGTGACCTGTACAACCATGTGTAATGTAATCTGCTGATTATACACTTTAGTCCCATGCATCCTATTCACATCCAATGATCTATCAAAGACTGCATTCCCACAGATTTTAGATCTATCTATCCCCGTGGGGAGTCTCACTAGATTACTGTCAGCTTAGCCAGCTTAAATGTCTGTCCCGCCTACTTAAAGCTGTAAGGGGGTAATTAACTTCCGTGCGCGCTCGGCTAACAGCAATTTAGCGTGAACCCCCAAGGAGTTAGGTCGATCCAGATGGATCAATCTAAATCTGTGGGAATGCAGTCACAGTCGTCTATCATTCTGTTTTTAGAGATTGACAGCAGCCTAGCTATTATGTCAGAGAATAACTAAAATGTAGCTTCAGCACTCAATACAGCCAATTAGTGTACAATACTTAATTTTAACTCAAAGACACTTTGCTCATTGTTTGTCATACTTTTACGGTGTTCAAGAGAACAATGCTTTCATCTGAACAGTAATAAACCGACTTAAAAGATACTGAAAATGATCCTGTAGCATACTAGCAAGGTAATTAATAGTACAAGAAGGGCTTGCCATACTTATTGGTGTAACTTGCCCTATGCAAGTGATTTCAGCTGTTGGGCAACCAGAATTAAGATATGCTTGCCTGCAAATGCAGGTGATTTGCTTAAGGATCACTTTCCCACAATTTGAAAATTTTGTATTCTTATTTTTTTTTCAAATGATTTTGGAGAGAAGCAAGTAGATTTTCAGACAATTTACTCAACAGAGCAAGTGCCAGAAAGTGGTTTATGACAAGCCCTGGTATGGTACCAGTATGATATCTCAAAAATAGAATGATAAATATGGGACTCTCAGACAGAATGCCCAATGTAAAAAGGCCTTTCGATCTCATCCCCCCAAGGCATAATTTATCTGTTCATAAGTCAATTATACGTTTTCCATTCCAATTCAGATTAACATGATTTTCTTACATGGATCACTTTTTTCCGTAAGGTTATGTGCTGAATGGCGTGACAGGATAGCTAAAGGTGGCTGGTGTTGTAAAGTCACTAGCTGGGGCCTGGTGGCAAAACGCTGCAGCCCTGAGGAGAAATAGAAATTGTGTTAAGTGATAAATATATCCTGCACATGCATAAACATTTCAGAATGTGTAAGAAACATTGATACTTGTAGAAATTAAAACAGTTTATTAATATCAAAGTCACCACCTACATGTACATGTACATTGGTTTTGATTAACTAAAGCATTAAAAATAAGAGTTACAGGCTGTTGGGGGGGGGGGGATGTACTGGCAAACCTAGGAAATGGTCAATATTCACAATTAAAAAATATTTTGTTGTAAAGTCGTCCTAAATGTTATTAAGCTTTACATAACCACATAACACAGCATCTGTTTCAATTTGTCAAAGTTTCAGGACACCTCAAGGTCATTTATTCTGTTGGTGATCTTTTTCATTTAAAAAGAAGACACCACCCATACAGTTATGTATCTTAAGGAAATAAATATATCTGTCGTTACAATTTGCAAAGATGAATACTGTAAGACAATAACGGTATAGGCGAGGATATATCGAAACTTACCCCGAGAGGCTCGAAGTAAACTTAACGCCATTTTGTCTGCAAACTACAAAAACTGTACACCGATATTACATTAGCATGGCAGTAAACATTGATTCTCATAACATCTAGTAAAGGTGTGTTGTTTAATGTTATAGGACAAAACTGTTTATTTAAAGTGATATATAAGTGGGTAATGGTTTTTTATTTTTATTTATTTATTTATTTATTTTTTTTTTTGAGGGACCAATTTCTAAATAAAATGAATGCACGGTTTATGTAAGTAGGTCGAATATAGGTCATAGTTCAGTAGATCACATGACGTAAACATGGCCGACAAGTTTACGTGAGGTCTTCTAATGTCCTCATTACATTAACGGGACTTTAAAAGAACCATTGTTCGGCAAAGTTGTCAATTTGAGACTAAAATTCAGACTATGCCGAAGCTGTGATAAAAACGCCTGAATGTTTTCAGTATCAGCCATATCGTCTTGTTTAGGCTTAAGTAGGCAACAGGTAAGGCAGACTCCCCCTTTCACTCTCTCTCTCTCTCTCTCTCTCTCTCTCTCTCTCTCTCTGTCCGGCATTTAATAGTTATTTGTGCCTTTATCTCATGCGTTACAAACAGAACATATCATAAACCCTAAATATTATAGGGCGTAATACATATGAAACGCATCACCTAATGGCACCGCTTACTGGTATTCCCTCACGCTGTGTCTCCCCCCCCCCACCCCCCCACCCTCCGCTGTATTATTGCCTTCCTTCCCTGCTCTCCTTCATTTGTCCCATTTACATCTGCAGAAACATTAAAGTAAAATTACTTTATTTACTGTACTACTGATAGACCCTCCCAGAGCCCAAATCCCTACACTCTAACACTCAATAGAAAAAAAATGGATTTTTTTTTTCTTTTCCTGGACACTGGTCCAGTGAAATGGATCCCTGACAAAAAGAAATACACCATGGCGCCCTTCTATAGCAAGCGTCAGAACCTCATTAGATGTCTCTGACTGGTATCGCTATATCGCTCTCATGCAACCATGTGGCAGGTAGCCTAGAACTTACAGCACTACTACAAGTCACTCTAAAGCACCCTTTTGAACTCTGAATGTCTCTGTTATATATGCACATAACACTTCTTTTCTTTATAGCATCAGTATCTCTATACAGTATATTTGTACATTAATACTTCCCGATAACACTCCAGTGGGAGAGCTAAGACTTAATAGATACGTCTAGAAAGCTGGAAAGAGATGTTTATATACTAAACATGGAGGCTGTCTTCTGAGTCTTTTGGAAGATGGTCAGATTTTCAAAATTACTTTGACAGGTATCTAATTCTTTATTGTTGGAAGACGGTCAAAAATGGAAGATGGATCAACAAAGAAAATTTGGAAGACGCTGTCAGGAAATATCTCTGGATCTGCCCCGGCCTGTACTATACATTGTGCATGTACCCTGGTATAGCAGTAGCATGAGTACACTTATAGATTAGACACATGCTAGTGCAGTGTGCATTTATTAGTAGTAAATATGCAGTATTTTACAGTTGCTGGAAGGAGTGGTTGCAGGGAAAAAAGGCCCAGTTCACAAGGTGTACTTCACTCCAGGCCACCTGTTTGTTACAGTTCAAGATGGGCATATCCTGTACACATTTGATGTGCTGCCAACTTCCCTACCACAGGTACTGCATGATGGCATGTATAATCAGAGTCTTAATTGTCTAATAGAAGTATCAAAACTACACATGTACATGTACATAAAAAATCATTGTGCATTCATAGATTTGAAAATTAAGGCATTTGATAGTACTGTACTAGTATATATGGAGACTATGGGGTTATGGAACAAACTTACATGTTAGTGACCAGTATAGATGGCAGATGTTTTTAAATTGATTGCTAATGTACATGTATAACAGAGATGTTAACTTAAATGCAAAAGCTGTAAAAGATACTGAAATCTCAGATACTTCAATATGTATCAGTGGAGGATGCCTGGCTAAAACCCTTCACCATTCATGTTCTCAATGTTTCTAAATGACCTAGAAGAATTTTTAGAATAACACAAAAGTAAGGGCTTGGAAAACCTTACCACAATTTTTAAAACAGATCTGAATGTGTACCTAAAACTTTTTGTTTCTTTTTTGCACTGTAATGTAAATGGCATGACTAACTGAACTGCAAAAGCTGCTTACTGTTTGAGCACTACATGTATTATAAACTACAGTATGTCACATAAAAGTAAACAGTAATAAAACTACTGAGTTTGGGAAAGGCAAACAACCAAAAAATGTAGATTTTTCAAATGGAGGAAAAGAATTAGATATTTTTAAAAACATATAAATATCTAGGGATACATTTTTCAAGAACATAACATAACAAGCCGAGCAATAAATTGGGTTATATTTTGTCTTTTATAAATTATTAAAAACACCATGGAGTGATTAATATGTCAATAGTACCAGTATTTTCAATGAATGTGGTTTTACTTATATGTGGAAATTAAAAAATTTAATGGAACAGACATCCGCTGGTTGAAAAAAGTAAAATATATAAACTTTCAATTTTGGAAAAGAAAGGTAGCTGTATGTAATTCACTAAAACACTAATTTAATTTTAAAATAGAATTAGATTTTAAAATAGAATAATACCGTACAGCAATACCATCTACTAGTAATGTGGCAATTGTGCATTTAAAACCTTTAATACCAAATTACCTATAGAAACTCGTAAATGGTAAAATATACCTAGATTATGTCCCATGTACTAGTATAGCAAATATGGTTTGGAAGACAAGTTTCCCTATTCATTCAATTGTACCCTCAGATAATGCTATAAAGAAGTGTAGAGACAAATTTCTACCAAGTTATATTCATCAGCACCCAAATATTAGGCCTACTAAATGTGAGCAACTTTTCACATATGGAAAGATTTAGTTTAAAATTTAGGAAAAGTCACTGACTTAATTTACTAGTAAGAAAGAATAGATTCCCTGACTTAAACAAACATATGTTTACTTTTTATTATTTTGTCAAGTTTCTTTGTATATACATTTTGTACATAGTTTACAAAAAAAATTAATCCGAATATGGAATACTATGCTGAGAAACTCTGTTTCCTTATTTGGTGAATTAAAATATAATTTGTTCCCATCTGCAGTAATTATTAAACCTAGTGCTATATAATGTCTACAAACTGAATGAAGGCATTACTGTATGAAGTTTCGTTGGGCAGTGAAGACAAACATGTCCAAAGTTTATAAGTGCAATTTTCTTTCACCATGATATATTTTGATTACTCTCAGTCACTGTTCAAAAGAAGAGGATTCAAGCTTTCTGGTGATATAAAATATTAAGTGAACCATCGGCTTTTCAAAGAACCCACTCTGTGGTAAATTCCCATGCTACATGTACTTTTACTTTCTCCACTTGCAGGCAGGAGTTTTTTTTCTTAAAAAATGGAGCCTTGTTACTAGTAAATTTATGTGTTCATAGAACCTAGTGTATTAGGTAAAATCTTGATTCAGAATGGTGCTTTCTCCAGCTAATCTTAAGGCATATTCATGTATTGAAATCTGTTGGTAGGAGAGAAGTATGGAGAGTTAATTTTTCCAGAAACATTTAAAAAATAATCTAAATCTAACAAAAATTATTCATAACTTTTCCAGAAATGTTAAAAAAATAACTAAATTCTCACAAAAAACATTCATAGTTTCAATTGGACTGGTGTCATTTATAATTTCCAGGCATTGTCAAGGCTGGGAAGCCTAGATATTCCAAGTACAGCTGATGCCATTGTTGATGTGTTGTATATCAAAAAGAAACCATCACTTGTGATAATAGTAAGTATCTGTAGAAGGCTTTTTTCAGTTCAGTATAAGATATGGATAACCATTCAGTAAGATACATGTACCGGTACTACTGGTAAGTTCCTTTCACATACATGTACATGTGTTTAAGTTCTTTGAGTTTTATAAATGACTAGTGCTTGTACAGGTAAGATATACCCCCTTTATCCAGTCCAAAAAATAAAATTGGAGATTTAATCCCAACATCATTACATTCCCAAAATGGGGTAGAAAGACAATCAATATAAAATGGGCACAGAAATGAGTCATTAATTAACTTAGAAAAATTCCCTGAATAACACTTTTTTTTTCCATGTTAGATGGTTCTGTTGTTCTAACTATAATATTGTGTTTTTAGGTGTTTGCTAATGGCGCAGTTGATGTTTGGCAGTTCAACCTTGATAATAAGTTCACATGGATCAAGGTGGGAGACTTTGAACTTTTGGAAGGTCATGACCCAGAGGTCAAGGTCATAAGTGTAACCTTGCATGATCTTCATAACACAATATATTGGTGTGAAAGACATGGCACAGGGGAGGCAGCAAGCTTTAACATCTGCAAAAAAACTTTACCCCCAGGTTTGTTTAATAACACAAAATAAAAAAAAAATGAAGTCATTATTCTGTGTATTTGGGCTAAACAAATATCTTTTGCTTTTGAAAAATTTACAGGTACAGGTGTGGGTTTGTTTATACATGTATATGTTATTTGTCTGTGTGGTCATTATCAAACATATTTAAGACACTTTTTATGTTGAATTTTTTAAGGATTGCAATTTGTACTATAAATACTGTCATGTTAATATAATGCTAATGAACGATAATGCTGTAAAGGCAGTAAGATTGCTACTGTAATAACCTGAGTGTGAGATTGCTTACCACTTCATTGAAAACTGATGTTGAAAATTACAGTAGATGCATAATGGATTAAATTAAAAGTCATATTGTTAAAAAATACTATATATTGTAGTGTTAATTGTCTGATATGTGTACTAGTAAATATTTCATATGAAGATGATTTAGTTGATATGTTGTGAGACATGCCCCCCCCCCACCCCCACAGAGAGGGAGAGAGAGAGAGGGGGGAAGGGAGGGGGTGTATTATATTAGTATACTGTTGAATAGCAATGTAATATGATCAATGTTTTTGCTTCAGAGTCAGAGCCTGTAAACAGGAGCACTGTGGGCGCCACAGTCACCATATTAGAGGGTTCTCCAAAGTGCAGACTTCTGCCTGGGAGGGACTGCCTTATTGTATGGCCTGAGTAAGTACATGTATGAGAACATTCAGAGCAGTGGACTAAGAGAACTGCCGATTAAATACATCCCACTTGAATGCTTGTTGCTTAATCCCTGTGGGAAATCTCTTCATTGTCTAATCAACTGAACAATATAATCAATTAATAATGTAACAATGTAAGTTGAATATTTATTGTCATTATTATTATTATTATTTTATTATTATTATTATTATAATTATTATTATTATTATTATTATTAGGTGCCCTGGTCCTCAAGGTTTGTTTTTCAAGTGGTTTCACCAGACCAGCACTCTACAAAGCCACATCTTGCCCAGTGGATGTGTCCACACTGATGACAGAGTCGCACAACCAGTGCAATATAAAGACAGTGTGTACAGGCTGCTGGGAATATGGTGCCAGGTGGGTTGTGTGAACTATTTATTTATTTATTTTAAAATTAAGAAAAAATATTGATTTGAAAAGGAAACCTTTTATTGATCAGTGTATTGTTGTCTTTGAGATATTGACAACTAGGTGTTAAAATATTATGTAATTAAATGTTATCGTTATGATTATTTAGACTTGTACCTTTATTTATTTATATGTTGTTATTGTTTTATTTGTTTGTTTGTTTTTTTTAATTAATTATTTTTTGCAGACCAAAGCCATTAATTGCCATTGATACTCACCGTATGAATGTGCTTATAGGACTTACTGAAAATTATTTCAGATTTTAGACTGGGTTCCCACAGATTTAGATTGATCCATCTGGATCAACTTAATTTCCTGGGGGTTTATGCTAAATTGCTGTCAGCTTCCAGGATCCAAGTGTGCAAGAAAGTTAATTACCCCCTTACAGCTTTCAGTAGGTGGGACATACATTTAAGCCGGTAAGGTTGACAGCAATCTAGTGAGACTCCCTAGGGGGATGGATCGATCTAAATATCTGTGGGAATGGTCTCTGAGAGAGTGGTTTTACTAAAATGCAGCAGGGTGAAACTATGGCAGCAGTATATAGTTTTAGAATCCCATTAAACAGCTTTGAACAATTTCAGACCAGAGACCTCCCTCAAATAGAAGGTCACATGATTCATCCTGTTACCAAGGCAACTCATCTGCTCTACCATGATGGCTCTACAAGGATAGTTTGTGAAGAGGAAGGTATATACATATCAGGGGCAGATCCATAGATATATACACACACAATTTAGTGGTGTAAAAAAACAACCGATTATTAGAAAGCATTGATTTGAGCTGGCTAATTTCTAAAAGTTTCTAAGTTGACATTGATCAGTTTGCAAAAATGCTAAGTTCAGTGAAAAGACACCAAGCTCAATCTTCATCCATTTAATTGTCATCTTATTTATACCATCTTGTAAAAAGTGGTTTGACAAGGGGGAAAGTAACAAATCACTCAAATGTCATTTGCTTTGTAAAGTGATCATAAATTTCTGCTGTAAAAAAATCAGCACTGTTCAGTACATGGTGAAAGTTTGTGTCATCTTCCAGACATGAGAGTGGGATGTCAACTGTGCACCATGGAGGATGTCCATGGCTCTCACTGGCTGATATACAGATGTGCTATTGTGGCTGTGAATACAAAATGTTTAAGGTGAGTGTGGCTTGGGGTCCTTTTCACGCTGTGCATTAGTCCAAACAGTTGGAAGCAGGCTTGTGGAATGGAGTAAAAAATCGATTAAACTGTTTTGATAGTTTACTTTGGATCTAAGGTATGATTTACTCTTTGTGTATAGGAAAAGTGACACTGATGCAAAATAAATTACTTATTGTTAGATTTGTAAATATTTTATGGTTACTTATGAAAAAACTTCTTGTCAAAATATACTTGAGAATCAGATTTTAGGCTTTTCTGTTGCCTCATTTAAAAATAATGTTGAGTTGAAATCATACAAAATTTTGAAGTTGGTAGACCAAATAATATTGTAAAAAGCAGTACAATCATGTAGGTATGCTTGGAAAATTACTCCATACAGCAGTGAAATTTATTTAATTAATCCAATCAGTATGTGTACCTATCAATACCCGGTATATCTACTGTATATACTTTGATATTGCAGGTTCTATAGTATTCAGAATGGTGCTATTTTACAAGAGCTTGATAACACAGAGATAACCTGTGGGTCTCCTCTGGATGTGTGGAACAGCATGGCTAGAATCCAGAGTGCTGGATTTTGGTGTAACTCTGGAATATATGGCATAAAAGTAAGTGCAAAGTAAAAGTCCTGACCCCTCCCTCCCCATTTCATGAAAAATCTTAAATCCTGATTAGACTAGGATGTGCATGTGCCCATGTAACATTGCCAAGAAAGATTTTAGCAAGGGAACCTGATTTAACTTTTTTTTGGTGAAATTAGAGCATGGGTGTAATAGTCTAGTTTAGCCTGGTATTCTCAAAAAAATAAAAAAAAAGGGGGGGGGCAGAACTAGTAAACTTTACAATTTTATGTCTGGTCTTTATGGATCTATTCAATTTCAGAATGATCTATAATAATTATTACCCTACCTAGATTTTTTCCACTTAGATTTGAAAAAAAAAAAAATTATGGAAACCATCACCTGGATTACAGCAATCTGGCTAATGTTGATAAAAAGACAGTTGAGTCATTTTTTTCTGAGAAAGATAAGTACACATCTCTGGTCATTAATAAGAATAAGGAAAGTGCTTGACCATATTCATTTTCCTTATAATTCTCAAGATGACTAAATCCAGCCAGTGGACCAAGGTCAGTGGAGGTGCTGTCCCTCTCAACCTGTGTGGGAAACAGAACCTGGCCGCTCAGATGGTGGTAGAAGAGGCACATAATTACTACAAGGTAATGACACTGGGATATGTTATAATAGGAAATAGTAGAAGTATTTTAGTTCTACATATATAAAGAAGTGCTAACTCCCTTTAACAATTTTTGAAAATTAATAAAAAAAAATCAGCTAGACTAAATTTTAGTTGAAATTTTAGTTGAAATGTTGACAAAATGAAGTGTACTAAATAAATGAAAAGATAACTGCACAGTATGTATATACTTGCATTTTATTTTAATTAACTCTTAACAGATTTTTGAAAAATGAGAATAATGAAAAGGTGCCACAAGTGGTCTGTGCAAAATGGACTATTTTCATGCTTATATATAATAAATCTCTTTTCAGTCCAAATGTGTCAACCCCAATACAGATCTTGCCAAAGATCTTTTGCTCAACATGAAGGTGTTTCAGAGTCCAGCTCTAGTTATAGCATTGCTACAACAGGTAAATAGGCAGCATTCATTTCTTTTGATTTAAAGATTTTATACTACTTGTATATAATAATATGGGTCAAGATTAGTGGTAAGCACACAGTAAAATACATGTAAGTAATTTTATTTCAGTGAATGAAAGTTGAATCAACATTTTATAGTGCCTTTTTGCCTGATAATTTTAGTGATAAAAGTAATTTTTTAAAACAACAGTGTGGTTATCTTCTAATTAAAGCAAATATATTTAGGGCAGAGAAAATAGCTCCAACCCAGAACTGTCTTCAGTTTTAAAGGAGATTCAAAAACAGTATGGCAGCGAAAACAGCAAATTACTTCACACAAAACTCAACCAACTTGTAGGTGAGTCAGCATAATTTTCTATGTCAGCTTTGCTTGTCTAAGAGAAACATTCTGTGGTATTTCTACTGTTTATTTTACATTAAACTACTTGTAAAATATATGAAGATTTTTGCTTGACTGTATATTTTTTATAAGGACAAACAAGTTCTTAGAATCCATTGGATTTCAAAGATATTGTGAAGTTTCACCTTTTTAACAGGTTAGACACTCTAAATTTGTGCTAAAACAAAGATTGAGAAGCAAGTAAATGTTTCATCTCTGATGCACTAGCTGCAACATTAGAATATGTGATAAATGTTACAGCAATGGAATGTTTATGTTTTAAATAACAATATATACTATAATGTGCAGTCTTCTTAACTGTCTCATGATCAAAGATGTGATAGTTGTGACAGTGGTTGAGATAAAACACAATTGTGTTTTCCCTGTCCTAGGTCCACTATTACAGGAGTACTGGAGACTGGAAGACAAGGTGCAAGCTTTGATGAAGGATGATAAGGTGAAATAAATATCTCAAAGTCATTTAGCAGTCTGTACTTCCTATATATATCACCATTTTCTTTCTTTCTTTTTTTTTCTTTTTTTCTTTCTTTCTTTCTTTATTTTATTTTATTTAATTTTTTTGTAAACTCTCGTTTTAAGTTAATGATATTAAGCACAAAAGTAATTTTTCTCCAAGGAAGCTTTGATAAATCATTGATGTGAATTATTAATATAAGTTTGTTTTTTGTTTCATGATTTATTATGATTCATGTTTATTTTATGAGTCTGTTAGATACATGTAGTTGTGGTGATTTTAAAATAAATACCAAAATGACATTTTAGCATTACTGTATATGGCTGAAGTGTGATGTTCATCAGTTCTTATTGTATTAATTACATTTCTTATCATTTTTAAAAAGACTTGTAACTGAAAACGTACACCGTATGGTTCTGTATATTTAAGCCTGCCCTGAAGCACAGAGAGCAGACCCTGAAGGATGTAATAGTAGGCATAGTTCAGGGCGACAGCAGTCTGGAGGCACGGAGATCTCAACTAGAGCTGCTGGCCGATAGCTTTCCCTTCGATGTCCTGGAAACATTGATTGAATACCTGGATCTCAGTACTGAGGGTGGGTGTGGTACTTGGAGGAAACAACCTATTAACCGTGATTCACCTTTAGGGAGGGTTCAGATAAACATGTCACACTAGCTGGATTGATACAACTCTGTGGGAGATACTCCCTAAGTGCAATCACTGTAATTGGTTTAAATGTGTGACACGTAATGTTGACTGGCTACTCAGGGAGGCTTATGTGACAATTAAGCTGATAACAGTTAGTGAGAATTGTAATTAGTGAGAATTATGATTAGTGAGAATCTCCCGCACAGTTGGATCGATCCAGCTGTGTGATGTTGAATTTGAACGTGGTCTGATACAAGCATTTCTGATAACCCTGAGTTTCAAAGATTATGTACTCATTATTACTGCAGCACAGTATTCTCTGCTGTCAGCATGGATCTGTAGTTTCCAGTGGCTGTGAGATGTTATAGCATCATGTATTATGTAAATGTAAGATACCTACACATGTGATAAAATAAAAATTATAAAAAACAACCTTCGTGATTTTGAAATTTTACATTAATGAGTGCTTTTTTTGTTGTGATTGATATATTATTTGGTCATATCTTTTAGCTTTGGTAAGATGTGTCAGTATATGAATGGTCTTCCAGATCTGTCACAAGAGGCTCTGAGAAAGTGGGCCCCCATACTTGCCTCAGAAGAAGGCAGCAGTGGCTCCACCTTCCCTTTGTTTGAAATATTGTGCAGATTACTGTATACAGAGAAACCTGAACAGCTGGTATGTCCTGCTCCCAGTTCATTTGTATTTACTTGAACATTTTCTGAATGTTGTTTTCATTCTTTCTTTCACACACTACACTTAATATATGAACAAAACTGAATTTTTATGTTTAAATTCAAAAGAGTACGGTTAGATTTTAATATTCCTGTGATATACACTATGGATGTGCAGTTTTTAAAAAACAGTTTCAACACTGTACATTTCCAGATCAGCTTTGTCAAAATGTCCCAAGCAATTAGTGATAGAATTTCTGGCACATCAGCATTCATGCGCCGCAAAGAAGAGCATCAGTTCTATGAAAGGGCGCTGGAGTGTGTGGGAGAGCCAGAAAGATCTGGCAAGGTTGAGAGTGCTGCCATTGCTCAAGCTTCCTTGGTGTTGAATAGGTAAGATCTGAGCAGAATCTGACAATAATATGACAGAATAGAACAAGAGGGATGGAACAAACTTGACTGATACTTTTGAAATGATTTTTAAAAAATTGTTTCTATAGGTTGAAAAGCAGTACTCAGTAGAATACTTTTAAATGTGAAAAATTGTTAACATTAAATGCTGGAATAGAACACTAGACAAAATGTTATAGTTAACACAGCATAACTGTATGATAATTTATATATTAACTAAGATGGGCCTCTGTGCTTCAATGCATACATGTAATACAGGTATAATATTGTAAATAACAAGATTACGTATCATTGGTGAAAGTTATCAGGATTAGCCTGATTTCAGCATTTTCAATCTCATTTTGATCATCTTTTTCTTATGGTCTAGCTAGGTGCAATAGGAAATTGCAAGATGGGTTTTTAGGATTTGCAGTTTTCACAACTTTTGCCCATGAATTATTTTGTTTTTCAGTGGAATGCAAGCCAGCCAGGTGCAGGCTCTCCACATACTGCTGAAGTACCATCTCTGGGTTCCTTCCATTAAACTGGTCCAGCAGCTGGCTGACCACAGTGACCTCCATCTTGAACTCTTCCAGCTGCTTCTAACTGCAGTACTGAAGGTATGGCCACATTCAGATTCACATTTCATACTAACTGGGTTGGTCCAACTCTTTCTTCCTTATTTTTTCACATAAAACAAATTTTGGCAAGTAGGAATAACTTTGCAGTGCATTTTCAAAATGATAATAATAATAATAATAAATGTGGTTTCTAGCAAAATAGCCTGTTGATAGTGTCTGTTTCTTCTTTCAGGCTGGTGTGTTTGCCACATACTGTGCCAGTATAATGGAGGCTGTGCCAGATAGAATAAGGTAAGGTTCCTCTACTGTAACAATATATGATCTTGTTTGCATGTGGTCCTTTTGTATACAGGTACAGGTAATACATGACAACTCTTAATTTACAACACCCCCTTAGTTGTAATTATATGCAACATACAGTTATCATTGCATGAAGACTATTCATCCTAAGGCATATTTATATTTAGAAGTGGAAAACGATATTTTAATTTATTAAAATAACACAAGTAAACTTTTGGTAACTTTTAATTTAGTGTGCGAGAATACTCATGCTTGCATGCACATTTTTGTGCCATATATTGAGGAATATTTACCCTTTCTAAAGAAATCAGTTACTTTTGGAGGTCGAGTCACAGAGGTCAAGGTTTTAAGTGTAACCTCCTTTGTCTTTCACAATATAATTAATGTAAAATAAATGGTGCAGGAGAGGCTTGTAGCCTAAAAATCTCTGAGACTTTCATGAATATGCTAACATGCAGTGATGCTGTTTATATTCATTTATTTTACAAGTGAAAGACAGATTTGCAGGTCTGGACTGGCATAAATCATTGTCAAGACTGTAAAGAGCTTTGGTTATATTTGCAGCATGCCAGAGTTTCTGAGCCTGCTGCAAACACATACGAAGGGAGGCCCACTCTCCACGAAAGAAGACCACATCTTTAGCTCAGATGAACAGGACACAAAGATGGGAGCAATCAAACCGTTCTTGCTTAAAATGATTGGGGACAGGTGAATTGTAAAACAGGGAGAGGGTTTACAAAATTTAAAATAAAGATGGGATAATTATGATGTACTCTCATACTGGTTCTTTACCTTTGAAACAGAAGCTTTAAGGTTTTGGCCTTATCACGTGACTGTCTGGGTCTAGTTGTTACTGGTGTCATGTGGTGTATCATGTATGTGTACAATGACTGTTAATTACTAGTCTTGCTTGCATGTCATAAATAATTTTTCAAACAATTTGAAATTATTGTACCTGATAAACTTTATTACTAGATTGAATTATGTGACATCCAAGTTTAAAGCAATTATAACCCTGGACAAACAGTAGGTGATGGGGATTGTAAATCGGAAGAAAAAATTGGCAGAGCAAAGAAAAAATGTTGAACTATTATTCAAAATAACTATTGCATACTTGTTAAGAACTTTGTTTGTCTTAAGAAGGTGATGATGCCGATGTTGATAGTGATTGTATTGTAACGAAAAACATCTCCAAAATAAGTTTCCAACAACCCACCTTGACTTTGAACAATTATTGTTAGAATAAAATGACAATTTTCTATAACATTGGATTCAGTGTTTTGCATTGAAAAGATTTTATATGTTTGCTACATTTCTATTTTAAGTAAATTAAAAGGGGAATATCAAATCATATGAATATAATGGCAGTGCATGTTTTGGAACTATTTATTATAACTATTTTTTAAAACATTACTGTGAAACTATAATCGTGGCCATCAAATTTTCATAGCATGTAAGGGTATGTAGATGTAGCTTAATTGTTTATTTCTAGAACATTATCATCAATGACAGGACAACCAAATTTTCAAAGTTATAATGTACGTATTATTTATTTAGGATACTCCTAAGCAATTTTTCACCATTACATTTCACAAAAATGTGTGTATATTTGCCTCCAAGATAATGTTCTATTGCATAATAATACCCATGGGTGCATATGCAAATATTTGATTGTCGTGAGGGAAAAGAAATAACAACAACCTGTACTTGACCAGTTGAAATAACAGTAAAATTATACGGTCTGGAAAGAAATATGAATAAACTTTAATATAATAATAATAATAATAATAATAATAATAATATTTATTTCTTAAAATCGCACAATACTACCGTCTCAGGGCTGTTTACAGGTAAAATTATCAGGATTACAACTAATTATATAGATAATAAAAGCTAAGGTAAAAAACAATTAAAATAATTAAAGCTGGTTAAAATAGTAATGGTCTGAACAAAACTTTTTTTCTGATAAAATGAGAAAATATTAATCAAAATACTGTGAAAATAAGAATGTTTTTAAATCTTTTTTAAAAACCTCAACACTATCAATAGTCTGAATGTGTGAGGGTAGTCGATTCCATAAAATTGGCGCTGAAATTGAAAATGCCCTGTGGCCGTAGGTTTTGGTTGTGCATACAAGAGGCTTTCTCTTTGTGATATCAATATCCTTTATAAAATAAATTCCTTTTATATAATACTGCCTGTATATGGTCCACATTTTAAAAAAGAGTTTAATTACAGCTTTACTATTAAACTGTTAAGTAGCCCTGCATTTATATGGGTACTTCGTGGCAAATAGGATGTAAATAATGTAAATAGCTTTGGCAAAAAATGAAAAAATAAATAAACAGGTTAGGCTCGTTTCGGGAACCTGATCTAAAACGTATTTTAAACGCGTTAGAAATATCCTGTAATTCATATATTTTTACATTAAAATATCTCGCAAAGCTACTGAATTTGTCAATACTGGCCGTAAGAAAATGTAAGTACCCGATGCCGATATTTCCTTCTGACAACACCAAAAGACATATTGTGAATTGTAAGTTATTTAATAAGAAATGGTACAAAACATCGAATACAATTGGTGGGGGTCGACTAGTGATTAATGAGTAGGAGAGGAATGAGTCCTCAAGGAAAATGAGATTTGTCGTAAAAATCCCATCATTTTTTTTTCTATCATCACTAATGCCTACTGACCAAACAAAAAAAAATAGATAAACGATTGATTCAACATTAACATCATTGTAGATTCAACAATCAATTCCCAACGTTGAAACATATTTTCAAATTCAAACACAACTGAAACCTTGAATAATCTAGTCTACACTTAGCAAAAATAAAAAATCAAACAAGAATCATAAATGCTGATAGGCCTACAATGGTTTGTGTCTGCTGGGTAAGTTAATAGCCACGGTTACAATCTTGGGTAGTTTCTGGCTCAGAATCCGTTACACCAGT